GTTCCTATAACGTAACTATATCAGATCTTACATATTTTGAATTTAATAGATTTACATCTAAAACTTTTTTGTTGAAACCGGTATATCAAGATATTACTTTGAATATAATTAAAAAACTAAAATCTAATTCACTGGGAGTTGATGGTATTAACCTAGATATGTTATTAATGACCCTCCCACAAAGTCTTGAAACTATTACCGCTTTGATTAACCTATCGATAACTACAAGTACATTCCCTGACATCTGGAAACTAGCCTTAATACGTCCTCTTCCAAAAAATGCCAATCCTGCTACCGTGACAGACTTACGGCCCATAAGTTTGCTACCCTGTATATCTAAAATATTAGAAAAAGTTGTGTATCAACAATTAATTTCATATCTAGAAAATAATGATATACTGCCTGATCTTCAATCGGGTTTCAGAAAGGGACGAAGTTCTGCTACTGCCCTATCTGACGTAGTAGGTAATATATTGGAGGCCTAAGATACAGGTCAGGGGACTATACTCGTCCTATTAGATTATTCTAGGGCTTTTGATACCATAAATACGTCTTTACTTTTGTCCAAAATGTCGTTTTACGGATTTGACCCCAGGACTATAAAATGGTTTCACGGTTACCTTAGTGGACGTTCACAGCAAATTACAATTCAATTAAATTGTCAAAACTGTGTATCTTCTCCGCAGCGGATCACGCGTGGTGTTCCTCAAGGATCAGACGTTATATATCATCAGACATTAGTAACTGTTTAAAATATTGTAAATATCACATATTTGCAGATAACACACAGATTTATAAGTCTTTTAAGCCTAGTACTAAGTATTTGGATAAAGTAGTAAAGTGGTCAGAAAGAAACTGTTTAGTGTTGAATCCATCAAAGACAAAGTTTTTAATTTGCGGAACGAAACAACAGATTCAAAAAATAAATAAATTTGTCCCAACACTGTATATAAAAGGCACGGTATTAGAAAGAGTCGATATAGCACGTAATTTAGGAATCATAATTAGCCCCGATCTCAGATTTCAAGATTATATCAATAACATTGTTAAGAACTGTTTTTATAGGTTAAAAATCCTGTACAGGATGCGTGAACACTTAAGTATAGAATTACGAAAAAGACTATCGGATACCCTAGTACTATTAACATTTAATTATGCTGATACGGTTTATGGGCCTTGTTTACTGTCACGTACCGCGCACCTTATTCAATGGGTCCAAAATGCTTATGCGAGGTTTTGCTTCGATGTACCGCCTAGAGGTCACATAAGCCCAATTCTTGACGACAATAATATCCTTAAAATGGCTGCCAGACGCAAACTTCACTTAGCTTGTGCACTTTTTGGCGTCATAAAGACAAAAAACCCAAAGTATCTTTTTAGTAAGTTAGACTGGTCTCGCGAGCATAGCAAGTATCTCACCCGCGCTTCATCCTATAATAGGCTCAGTATTCCACACATTCTTCTTCAGCCTTTCGAGGTTGTTATAAGTATGCAGCCTCCCATTGCTGGAATAATTTACATCCTCCACTGCGTGACCTAAACACATTAGGCACGTTAAAAAGCACTTAAAATATCTCCTAATAAACGAACAGCAGGGCATAGTTAATAAATAGGAGTATTGTTAAAGAGGTTAGACGTTAGCTATATATATATATATATATATATATATATATATATATATATATATATATATATATATATATATATAATTATAATTTTATAATATACACTGTTAAATTAAATTATTACACTTACTAATGTTCCCGTCACGTCTCACGTAGCGTTCAGCAACTTACGCTCAGCACAACTATACAATACGTATTTTCCATTTTGTTAATAACTTTCATCAGTTGTTATTATCATATGTATCTACTACTCGCTTAATGTCAACACTTACGGCACGGTCTCCGTAGGACCGTATGGGGCCGACTGAAAATCAGCGTCGCTATCCCGCGGCTTATGCTGAGGCGGTCCCTTCCGCCACTTCATATGTTTCGATTAAGTCATGAATTGTTGTTATGTCCTCTATTTTTTTTTGTTTATTAATTTTCTTGTGTTTTTATTTCTTTTATTTTATTCTTATTCGTCTTAATTTTGTTTATTAATTGTTGAAAGTGTCGGAATAAATGTCTTTATGTCTTTATTGCAAAGGACAAGAGGGTTAACATTTTCAAATTCCACTCATTAACCCGGTCACAAAGGAGCCTACCCCGAACAAAAAGTATCATGTATGGATTTTTATGCGTATCATATGATGTTGCGAGAAAATTATTTTGACCTCTTAGCCCGGTGTAGACAATCATTTCATCAATTTTTGGTAGACATGTATGTGAAGGTAGAAAGTGAACGTCTCCGTTATATATCTTTAAATCAAAAAAAGCTGCGCGTTGAGAATTATATACATTTACAAGATGCAGTATCTAGCGACGCCAATGTAAACCCCAGAGATTTAGATAAAATGGTAATTCTGCCCTCTTCATTCGTTAACAGTCCTCGCTACCTACATGAGTACACACAAGACGCATTCGCCTATGTACGAACTTACGGAAGACCTGATCTTTTTGTTACTTTTACTTGCAATCCCACATGGAAAGAAATAACCGAGGAGCTAATGCCGGGCCAAAACAGTACTGATAGACACGATTTAGTTGCTAGAGTATTTAGATTAAAAGTACAAAAAATAATGTATGTAATTAACAAAGGGAAAATTTTCGGAGAAGTGCAGTGCTTCATGTATTCAAATGAATGGCAAAAAAGAGGATTACCCCATGCCCACATTCTAATATAGTTTAAAGAGAAGTTGCGGCCCAGCCAAATAGACGACATAATAAGCGCCGAGATTCCGGATCCTGAGCAAGATAAAGAATTGTATGATACCATTGTCCGAAATATGATTCACGGTCCATGTGGAGGACGAAATTCAATATCGCCATGTATGAAAGAAGGAAAATGTACAAAGAAATTCCTTAAACAGCTATTAAAAGAAACAGTGCACAATGACAATGGCTACCCTTTATACAGACGCAGAGCTCCAGATGCTCCAGATGGTGGCAGGAAAGTTACAATCAAAAATCGCTCTGGAGCGTTCGAAACCTTAGATAACAGCTGGATTGTCCCGTATTCGCCCATTCTACGTAAAATGTTTAATGCCCACATTAATGTAGAAGCATGTAGCTCTGTCAGCGCAATCAAGTATATCTGTAAGTACATAAATAAAGAAAGCGACCAAGCAATATTTAATCTCAGGAGTGAAGGTGAGGCAAATCCCGTTAATGAAGTACAGACCTTTCAAGCAGGGCGTTATGTCCAAGAAAGAATTTCATCACCGCCAAAAACTACACTACAACAGCCTTCTTTCAACTTTGTCAAACCGACCCCTTTGCAAAAACGTTGTTATATTCTGAAGTCCCCCGCTATTATACTTGGAACACATCTAGGAAGGAGTGGAAACGCCGTATTCAAGGCGCGCCTGTTGCAAATTGGACCGGTGTAAAGTCATCAGATGCCCTTGGTCGTGTGTGTTCTAGTAACTAATTTTGAATGTTTCTATTTACGATTGTTGCTGCACCATGTTCGGGGTCCTACAGGATATAAAGACCTTAAAACTGTCAACGGTCAAGAATGCGCAACTTATAGAGAAGCATGTGAAGCTCTGCATCTTTTAGAAAACGATAATCACTGTGATGAAACCATGGAGGAAGCTGTGCAGTGCCAGTCACCAGCCAAAATTAGGGATCTTTATGCAACTCTCATATCATCTTGCGGGCTATCTAATGCACATGAATTGTGGGACAAATATAAAGAGTACATGGCGGAAGATATTTTGCGAAGGTTACAGCAGACACACACGAACGTGACATACAATGAACACATTTATAATGAAGCACTTGGAAAAATTAAAGATAAAGTAATGGCAATGGTAGGCAAAAAATTAAGCGACTTTGGAATGATAAGCCCTCAGCGAACAACCGAAAATGAACTAAGTGATGAAATTATACGTGAAACAAACTACGATATACCAGCTTTGCAGCAGCAAGTAGCCGAATTTGTACCCCGCTTGCTTCCAGAACAAAAGTTTTTGACAAAGTATTAGGACAAATTGAATCTGGACATTTTTATTTATTTATTATTAGCGCAAGTACGGAAAGGTAAAAACATTGCTGTGGCCGTAGCTTCCTCCGGTATAGCCGCCACGCTGCTAAGCGGGGGCCGCACTGCACATTCTGTTTTAAAACTCCCTCTAAATCTTGCAACTTTAGCAAAAATAGTGCACGAGGTATAATGCTACGACAATGCAAACTTTTAGTGTGGGATGAAAGTACAATATCGCATAAAAAAGCTGTAGAAGCACTAAATCGAACGCTCCGGGATTTGCGCAGCAATACCGATGTAATGGGAGGAATGGTGGTTTTACTGGCTGGTGACTTTCGCCAAACTTTACCTGTCATTCAAAAGGGCACACATGCAGATGAAATTAAAGCATGCCTTAAGTCGTCTGTTTTATGGAACAAGGTGACAAAATTCAGTTTAACTATGAATATGACAGTGCATTTGTATAATGATATCAAGTTTTGCAATGACAATTAATAAAGCGCAAGGGCAAACGTAACAGGTAGCGGGGGTCAACTTAGAAAAACCGTGCTTCTCTCATGGTCAGCTGTATGTAGCATGTTCGCGTGTGTCAAATGCCCAGAATCTCCACATTCTTTTATTATTATTATTACCTAATATCCGTAAGTTTCTGCGTGATATTAGGCTGGGACAAACTAATATTTGTCCCAGCAAACGCCATTCTAACGGTGCGCACAACTCTCAGTCTATTATTACCCGACCTGAAGCCTGTCAGTCTGCCGATAAGGGCCCTTGCCTTTGCGATACGGTCCTCGATTCTTTTTCTCCAGGCTGGGATGGCACTACCTTGTTGAGTAGCACGTCCAGCCATGGGAAGTTTGGCGCCAATTATACGGCATACTGCCAGTCCCGGCTGGCTTCCAAATAGGTCACCAGCATTGGGTTAAGAGCCCGCACGACAGCCCGATTTCGCTTGCTAAGGGGTATGCGGGGGAAGTCGCGGTCGATTTTCGAGAGGCATGCTGCGCGTTTCCAGCATCGACTCTTCCAATATGCTCCTCATTTTCTCTAGTTCCATCATCGTCTGAATCAACCACAAATGGAATATTGACGGCAGCGTCCACATTTGCAGTTTGCTGCGCAATTAGTGGCGCCGCATTCCCAGCCGTAGCATTTCCATCCGATGAGGGAACAGCCTCACGTGGTAGTCGTTCGAGTTCGACGTCACCAAATATGTTGGAGCGCAGGATGTACCGAACTCGGTCTGCCAGGTTTTGCTCAGTGACGGATAGAGATGGCTCCAGCTCTGCAAAAAAGCGATGCATCCGAGCCCAATATGCCAAAAATCCGGTTTCTTCCCCTTTTGCCCTAAAGTATGCCCGCAGTGCGTTTGCGTTCATTGTTTGTGACCAACGCATGCGACGTGCTCCACCAGCGGCGGGTGCCGCTTGCTGAGTCCGAGAAGACCCAACCGACACCAAGCCTTCTGGCGGGGATGATGGATGCGGAGGGCTGCTAGGTGATCGTACAGCTCCTCGCGCTCGACTTGCGGCCCGCATGCTGCCGCGTCCAGCGCCAGCTCCAGACGCGCCCCGGCGACCCCCAGGCAGCGGCCCTATGCGCGTTCCTCATTATCATTATTATTATTATTAATATAGTAAACACGTAGATATATAAATTGTGGTATAAAAAGTGAAAAGTAAATTGCCAAAAGTACTTCGAAATCCGGAAGGCCCATTTTGGCGGTTGGGTCAAAAATATGTTATTTTTCCAATTCTCATTTATTTTTAGTGTAAAATATATCTAGGTGTTTACTATATTACAAGGAATTTTAAAAAGTATAATACTTTCGTTTTTAGTCCAGACACAAATATAAAATTCTATAAAAAAGACGGAGCACCTTCATCAGTGCGACACGTGGAACGCCGAAAGTTCAGAGTGATTTTTTTTCTTCTAAGAAACATTGCCAGGTTATGATTTAAAATAAAAGAGCATATCTTTGTCTTTGATACTATTATCTATTGCATATTGTCTTTGGTTTTGTTTAAAACGTTTTTCACAGGGCAGTACTTCATATCGAATTCGATCTGTTTTAGAGCAGAGGCAATCGAGCTCCATTAGAAGTAACAAGTTAATACTCCGAATATATGAAATCGAGAAAATTCGGATTTGATGCTGAACTTTTATTAGAAGTAGTGCTCTGCTGCTAGCTCTTAAATTGAAGCATGCTGCAATCGTTACACCTTGCAGATATGTAATTTGCCACTGTTGCCGACCTCAATTTTTACTTAGGGTAAGTTAATTAACCTTTACTTACTTAGGTACTACTAAACTTTAAAGAAATTGCAGTAATAAGTGATTAACTTTTCAATCGGTTGAGATTAATGTCTGAGACCAAAGGTTATTTTAATCGAATAGCCTACGTCTATTGGGGGATTGACGATACTGTTAAATTGTAAAATTGCTTACTTCATTTTAGTTAGTGTTGTATGTCAACAGCCACACCGTAGCCGTAGCTCAAACTCTAAGAGTGGACGCGGTGCGCGTGTGGTGTTTGTCCTCTACAAATAGATTAGTGGTCTCTGAAATGTAACGGGGAAATGTGACTGATGAAAGATGAATGATCGTAAAAGTGGATTAAGTGTAGTTTGCCTTTGTTGTGTGACAAACGATTAAAGTCATTTTTGAAAAAAAGAAATTTGCAAATGGTGTGGAGGCAGTTACGAAGTATAATGGACGACACACACTGTCAGTTCAAGCTAGGACTGTTGATATTTTTAAAAATATCGGATTTTCGATATATGAAATAAACTTAGGTATATATCAAACTCCGATATTGATATAATTATAATAATTATAGATATATGGAAAATCCGATATTTAAAAAATATTAATAGTCCTGGTTTGAACTGATCAGTTGGAATAATCAGTTGAACTGACCGTGTGTGTCGTCCATAAGTTTGTAAACGGCGTGGAGGCCGGATGTTTAAAGTATTAGGTAGTTAATAAATGGTGCGAAGGCTCTTTAGAAGTTTAAGTTTGTAAACGGCGTGGAGGCTGTATAGAAGTATTAGTTTGTAAACGGAGTGGAGGCGGTTTTGAAGTTTAAAGTAAACAGCGTTTAGGCTGTTTAGAAATATATGTTTGTAAACGACGTGAAGGCAGTTTAGAAATTTAAATATATAAGCGGCGTGGTGGCTGTTTCTAAATATAAGTTTGTAAACGGCGTGGAAACAGCTTATAATAATTCGTTTGTAAAAAGCGTAGGGGATGTTTAAAAAAGTATATAAACAGCGTAGGGCCTAAAAATATTAAGGGTACGCGTTGCGTCTCGTCTCAGTGTGATCTGACCCTTAGTCATTCTATGAGTCAAATCAGTATCGTGATTTTTCCCATTATGGTAATACTTACTTCTTGTACAAGCAATAAAGGTCGTATTGCTGAGAGAATATCCTGTGTCAAATTGATATTATAACTGTCGTAATGCTGTTGGTTTTTCATACTTAATATATTTTAGTCTTATCATGTTGTTATGTTCATCACGTTACTCTCCTGTGTAATTGTGATGGGGACATATTACGGTATGCTCGAACTACTCTATATAGAATGTATAGTTCAGTATGTACTACTATAGAATACTATACCGACGCGCACTTAGAAAATCAAAATATTTACTCAAATGTGCCCGTCGCGCGCGGATCTATTTGCTATCTATTTTTAACAAGAAACATTATAGAACATGATACCATCTATTAAATATAGTGCTGTGCCTCAATGTAAATATACGGCCACAAAAAAGTTTTTTAATGTGCCTAGAAACCCTACCATCAGAAAAAAATGGACAAATGCTATGAGAAGAGCACCACATCCTTTAGGACCAAACATGGTAGCATATTGTTGTGAGGATCACTTGGATGTAAGTATTCAAATAATAATAACCTTCACATGATAGCTCTTGGTTATTGCTAGTAGGTAAATGCTTTCTATTGGGCATGCCACTCGAGTCGCAGTGTTTAAGTACCTAACTAATGATTCATTGAACCTTTCCACACTTAGTGATCATTATAATTTCAAGAAGAAACAATACCTAATACCTACATATTTAACTAAAACTACTTCAGTGTAAATAAACATCCAAACTTGGGTAAAGTACTTTCCTATGTACCTGAAAAGGACCAGGTTCGGGGTCCTCTCAATCCGGCCGCGAAGGACCAATTGAAAAGGACCAGGGTCGGTGTCCCTCTTGATCCTGAAAAGGACCAATTGAAAAGGACCTAGCGGATCGGGTACTAAGAAACAGGAATCGAGGCTTCTCTCGATCCGGCCTCCTATAACGCCTACGTTGGGTTCGGGAACAACGTATGTGATCTCCGCAACGGAGTAACACACTAGGGCGATAACCTCTTCCTTTTCAGCAAGTAGGTTCAGACGGGGATTACGGGTCTTCCGAAGTCGTCCCGGTCCCGACGCCTTAATTCTTCGATGTGGACTGTATAACTTAAGGGATGAATTACTTGGGAATGAAACAGCGATTATCTTCAAACCGTTCCGTGAGAGAGTAATCACTTTTCCCTATCACTTCCCTACACTTTTTCTTTCTTCTTCTTATTGACTGCTGGTAAGATCCCCGAACGATTCCCGAACGAATTGCAATAAAACCCGTTCACTAAGCTACCCCAGAGCTATACGCGAAAGTGAGCCGCGCCATCTGCGCGCTTGCGCAACTTAATTACATGAATTTGTACTATTACTCTCTCACGTTTCACTCAATATCTTTATTTATTCAAATCATATACAAATACAATTTATCAATATAGGTAGTACAAAACAATATCTACACCATGATATACATCATATCTTCATATCATAAAAAACCTTTTATTTATTAAACGAAAACTGCCTATTTTACTCACAAGTTCGAAATCGAAATTTCTTAAATATTTAACACAGAAAGTTAAAACAATGTTTCTCACTTGAATTTATACATAAGCTAACCAATACAATAGTTTAATTTACATTTTTTCTATTTATTTCACTATTTAAAACACTTTTAAATTTCTTATACAAAACTATCATTATTTCACTTATACACAGGAATTTTCACATGAAAATAACACAGAATTTACCTTTTTAGCACGTACAATTAACCTGAAATATTTTACAAGTAATTTTTACATAAATCACTGAATTACAAACATTTTAAATTTTTACATATTCGGCCTCCTAAGGGCGTGGCCAGCGTGCTTCCGTGTACTCACGCTATGTGAACAACTAACTTTGCACGGCTCTCGGCTATCAGAAAAAATTAAATTATGAAATACACCAATTTTGACCATATTAGGCAAATTAAATGCTTTTATACAATTTTCGAACTGTATGAAACTATCTTTAATCAGATAACAATATAAATGAATGTTCTCATTAATCAATCATAACAAATAGGCATTTGTTTTCGTACAAAACGTATCAAACTTATACAAAACAACATTTATGCAATTAATATCCATTAATTCTGCCTATGCACAGAGTGATTATCTCGACCGGGGAACAAATCCGATCTTTAACTTCACTTTAATATTCTTATGAATTTACATCATTTGAAAGATGATTTCAACCGGGGAACAAATCCGGTAACATAATTTATATCTTAAATTCCTTACGAATTTATTAAGCGATATTACTTAGGAAAACAAACAAACTAGTCCGGCCTGGGAGTCGAACCCAAGACCTTCATATCATTAATTCGACATTTCTTAAAGATTTAACTAAGCATTCTCTTATCAGAGCGTCGTTGCTCGTGACTGCCCCTTTTTTCATAGCAACGTCATCGGTTGATTTAATAAACTGAAACATTTTTATAGGCGCGTCGCCAACAATCTCCCCCCCCCGTGCGTTAGCACCATCATTTGGGAGGCGTCGCGGGTACCAGGACTATTATTCTGGATGTAGGTCTCCTCAAGATACCTGTGCTAGTAATGACGTCAACCACTCTGGTGTGACCGTCTGGTCCCGGTAACGTTCTACTAATTTTACCTTTTGGCCACGTATTTCGTGGCAACGAATGATCTATTATCAAAACAATATCGCCTTCTTTAGGTTCCATGAACTTGCCGTTATCACCTGTTCGAGGTATTAACGTAGGCATGTATTCTTTCAGCCATCTTGTCCAAAAATGGTCGGCTAACCTCTGTGCAGCTTTCCAATTGAGTTGACCCGTCAGATGTCGCTCTAAAAATAATCCAGGTGGTCGATCACCACATGAGCGTCCCAGAAGAAAATGATTGGGTGTCAAACCCTCTTCAGGACTATCCATACTGAATGTTACCAGAGGTCTGGAATTTACCGTATGCTCTGCTTCTAAAAGTAACGTATGTAGAACCTCCTCTCGTGGGCTCTTCTCCTTAAGCGTAGCGGTCAA